AGCAATTAAAGCGGTCAGCAGGTGGTGTGATGGTTAAGGCTACGAACACTCCCACATGGCTGACCATGGTTCAAGTCCCAGACCTGGTGGCTTGCATTCTCATTCCCTCCACCCCCCCCCTCTCTCTCTCTGTTTCTCTCTCTGGTCAAATTAAAGTAAATGAATATATAAAATTGAATAAATAATTATTAAAAATAGCAATTAAAGGGCACGGCATGTAGTGTCGTGGTTAAAGCATTGGAATCCCACATGAATGACCATGGTTCAAGTCCCAGACCATGCTGCTTGAAAAATCACACCAAGAGCATGTGCATGTTCGCCCAGAATCCTAAGAGGAGAAGAACGCAAGAGAAGGGAATGCAGCATGGTCATCCTCGCTGGGGGGCAGGGGGGGAGTGTGATTTCTTACTTCCTTTCTTTCTGTCTCTCCAGTGAGTGTATATGCCCTATAGCAAAAATCTCTCCAAAAATATATTGGGTAAATACTTTACAAGGTAAGTGGCATATTGTGATTAAATGTATAAAATAAATTAAAAAATAAAAATAAAAGGTACTCTAGATTCTTTTAGAAAGAAAAGAGAACAAGTACGACCATTTGAAGGGATAGAAGAGGAACGATCAGGAGGCTACACTAGAATGATTTAATAAAGGGTATATTGAAACCAGCAGATGGCATAGTGGTCACATTGCTGGACTCCTACATAGTCTACTGTGGTGTGGTTTGAATCCTGGACCTGGCAGGTTAAAACTCATGCAGGATGCATGTGCATGCGTGCACAAAATCCCTAGAGGAGAATGAAGGAGAAGGGATTGCAGTGTGGCCATCCCCTCTGGGGGGTGATTTCTCACTTTCCTGTCTCTCTGGTAAGCACACACACCCTACAGGAAAAATCTCTCTCTTAAAAAAAGGGGTATATCAAAATTATATATGAGGTTTTCAAAAATATGCAATTATAAAATGCATATTATAAAAAATCTATGCATGAATTTTAGAAAATTGTGTATATATATATATAAAGTTGCACCTATATAGGAGCTCTGAGTGACCCCTTTCAGGGACTAGGACAACTGGAGATTTTTGGTCCAGACTTCACCCTCCTGACTCCAATATCTAGTTGGAAAAGCCAATCACAAGCTAGCTACAGTTGAACTCTGAGTGGTCCCTTTCAGAGACTAGGACAACTGAGGATTTTCTGACCAGAATTCACTTTCCTGACTCCAAGATCTAGGTCGCAATAATCCTTAATTCACACAGAATATTCTGCACAAAGGTAACAAAATGGAACTGCGGAGAGATTGCAGAACGCCCTCTGCACACTTCTGAATGCTCAGAATTATCTCTAAAAATTAGGAAAAAATGTATCAGATGACCAGAAACCACCATAACGGTAAAAGAAATACTAGAAGCCAAGAAAATATCTCTCTCAAGGGAAACAATAACTCCTCATCATCCACAGGCAATACAATGGAATTGGTGGAAATGTCAGATACAGAATTTAGAATAGTCATAGTGACAAAGCTAAGAAAGATGCAAGAGAAGAGAGACTCCAAACTCCATAAGATGCAGGAGAAAAGAGAAAACAAGTTCCAGGAGGTGAGGAAGTTCTTGTAAGATCTGAAAGAGGAAATATACACTATAAAAACTAATCAAATGGAATTGTTAGAGATGAAAGCTATAATACAGGAAATCAAAACTTCCCTTCAAAGTATTAAAAGTACATTAGATCATGCAGAAAATCAAATCTCAGATGTAGTAGAACCTCTAACCTCAAAAAATTCACCAAAAAGACCAAGAAAATAACCCCACAAAAATGGGAATAGAATACAAGTAATACTACATACCATTAAACATCTAAACATCTGGATCATTGGTATCTCAGAAGGTGAAGAGATTAATAAGGGCATTGATAATATATTTCATGAAATCCTGGAAGAAAACTTTCCAAACCCAGAGAGGAATTCAAATATCCAGAACCAAAAAATACAAAGGACTACACATAGACTCAATCCAAGAAGATCTTCTCCAAGGCATATCATAGCAAAATTTGCCAAAATCACAGAGACAAGATACTAAAATTGGCAAGGATGAATATCAAGTAACTTTCAAAGGATATCCCATCAGGCTAATGCCAGACCTCTCATCAGAAAAAATGCAAACATTGAAAAATACATTCAAAGAGTTAAGTGAAAAACAATTTCAACCATGAACCCTTTAACATTCTGAAATAAACAAAACCTTAAAGAATTTACCAACATCAGATCAGCTTTCCAAGAAGTTCTGAAGGGAGTGCTGTACCAAGACAACTAGTCAGACACACAGAAATAAGAGTACAAAGAACAACTAAGAGAACGGCCTTTTTTTTATGTTTTTTTTTTTTTTGAGAGGTTTTTGCTATAGGGCATGTGCGCTCGCCAGACAGACAGAGAAAGACATAGAGAGACAGAAAGCAAGAAATCACCCCCCAGGGGGGATGGTGATGCCTCAATCCCTTCTCCTCCATTCTCCTCTTGTGATCTTGGGCACACACGCACACGCGCCCGGCGTGAGTTCTAAGCCACCGGGTCCAGGACACAAACCGCGGTCGACTACGTGGGAGTCCAGCAACATAGCCATTACACTAACTGCTTCCCAAGAATGGCCATTTTAATGGTAGGAACAAGTTTGGAAAGATCAACAATAATGTTGAATCTTAAATTCCAGAATTTAAATGGAAAGATCAGACCACAATAACACTGAAAATTCAACAGAAGAGAGAGTAATTACATGAGCCTGAACTGGCAAAAATAGAACTTTATGACTGTTTCATAAAACATTACTGATTTTCTTCTATGCTTTGTTTTCCAGATCTAAGGATTTTGTCTTCTCTTGAACTATTGATAGGTTTATCTACCTACTGTTTGAACTAAATCCTAACCTTTACCCTGGCTTTAAGCCTTAAGCAAACTTCTCTTAACATTTTTTTTTTATTTTGATCTATTAAAACTGTAACTTTTTTTCTTGAAATAAGAAATTCATAAAATACTCTATGTAATGACTGCAGTAAACTATATAGCC